ACCATGTCCCTTTAGGACGTTGGCTATTGCGTCTCTCCACAATTTCCTCTTAATAAATTTTGTCTTTTTGTTAGCTCTCCTAAACCTTGTTCCACCATCCAATTACACAAGCTTCTATGTATCATCAGGATGTTGGTGATTATGGCTCTCCACAATTTTCTGTCCTTTGTAGCTCTTTGTAAATTTTCTTATGTTATCTTTCCTAAATCCTGTTCTACCATTCACTTACACAAGCTCGTTCATTAGGTTATGTGCTGCTTTCCTCTATTCCTCTTGCTTTCAATATGTCTTGTAAGTGTCAAGTTTTCTAAGCCCTCTTTTCATATTATGTGTTCTAGAAATTTCCACTCTCTATTCCTGTTTTTGTTTCCCTTTTCCCCATGTTGACACTCCTGGTAACACAAAATGAACTAGGCATGATGCCTTAAATAAAGAACTCAAAATGAGTCAGGAGAAGTCCGTTGGAGTCAGTTGAGGAGAATTTATAGTGAAGTCAAGTAGCCTAAGTCAGAAATAATATTAGAACCACTAGGTGTGAGTTATAATTGGGATCAAAACTCATACAGAGTAGGAAAAAGTACACTTTAAAATTTTGCTCACATATTCAGTCCATGGTATTCTCATCATCAGTGGGGAAATGAAATAAAAACAATAAATAAAATAATAACAAATAAATAAATTAATTTTCCCATGATACTAATTATAAAAAAAAAGGAAAGGGTTTCTCATCACGTCTATTTTATGACCCACTTCTAGAAAGGACAAAATCTTTTTTCTTTCCACTTTCTGAGATTGTTTGAACATGTTTTCATCAGCCCTACTCATGAAGTAGAAATTTGGCCATCCCAATTCAGCATGAGGCTGACTTGAGCTCAACCATCTTTACCTGTTTTTATCCTTACTTCCCATAAATTATTTCTGAAGCAAAAAGTAAAACAGACATACTCAAGAGACATTTAACTTTGTTTCAATACAATCAATATAAAAGAAATAAATGGGTCAGTTGCTAAGAAAGTTGATTCACTGTGTCATGCAAGACAATTTTTTCTCCAGAATCTATCTTACATATATATAAGTCTACCATTCATCCATGCTTAGAATATTTCTACAACATATGGGTCAGTGCCTCTGCAATTTACCTTGAGCTCCTTGGTAAAATCCAAAGAAGAATTATTAATATTTTTGATGCTGATCTGGCAGCTCCACTTCAGTCACTTTCCTACCATCATAAGGTTGCCTCTCTGTGCCTTTTCTATAAATACGTGCATGGTAATTATCCAGATGAGCTCTTTGATTTGGTACCTAGACTTTTTGAATTTAAGCATAGTACAAGACTGGTGTTGAGGTCTCATTAATTTACAGTTGAACTGGTTAGATGTAACTGTAAATTCTATGCTAACAGTTTCTTTTCTCACACTTCTCACTTGTGGAACTCCCTTCCAGCTCCATACCTTCCAGCCAACTTTAATATGCAAAAATTTAAATGCAATGCCAATCACTATCTACTATTACTCTTATTAATATTTCTCTTCCCACTCATTATTAATGTTTCTGTTCCTAATTCTTACACACCCTTGTGTTTTAGTGGCTTTACTTCCTTGTATGGCAAGGTAATACTGATAAAAAAAAAATTTCCTTATTAGAAACTCAAGTTTTTTTCTGTATGTTTCTTCTCTCATTTGTTTAATATATTGAACATGCACCTTCACCTAAAAATACACACAAAACCTACAAGCTTGTTAACCTCCGCACATCCTTCTGTAGAACCACATTTCTACCGCCACAAGTTTCATCCTTATGGTCCAGTATTCATTGCCTTATAGGAGGATTGATGAAAACTGTCATTGTTTCCAAAGTAAAATTCACATACGCACACTGGCCTGAAGCCACAAAGTTGGTTTGTTTATTCATTTATTCAAGGATGATTATTTGTGCATTGCAGAATTTTCTTGCCATGTAAATATTCAATGTGTGAAAACTGTAAGTGTTTGTATCCAGTATATACCTGGCACAAACATATATATATATACCCCCCCCCCGAGATTACAAGAGAATCTTGATTTAGTGAGGTTTCTTTTGAGAGGATTCAGTAGCTTTGTTATTTGTTACGTTCATTACTTTATCAATCACTGAGTTCAATCTTCCAAGTGATGCTTCAATCTTCTAAGATGAATTGCAAATCTTTATTATGTGTAAATGTTCCTGAAAAGTTTTCTTCTGATTACAAACAAACCACGAACTTGACAAATGTTTACAGGTGTTTATTTTCCTTTTAGTTATTCACCAAAAAACACCCAGGAAAAAAAACCTGATATAAAATAAACAAATAAATTTTTAAACAAGGTCCATTAGATTTTCTAATACCAGGTTAAAATTGTTGAAAATTCCACTCTAGTCAGAAAATTCAACTCCAGTCACTTACTTAGAGTTAGATAAAGGGGTTGGAGTTATCTACCCTTAGTTTCTTTGTTTTTATTGTCACTATGAGGGTGCATTGTCATGTTGTCCCTAATAAATAAAATAAGTCACCACATGTGTTAACATCGTACAATATGTATCTGTTTCCTTCTTGAGTTTATCCCTCTGTCTGGAATATGAAGTTGAATATTTGCATTCACATAAAACAATGTATGTCTATGTTTTCTATCTAACTTGATGCATATATTTCTAACAAACTGAAACTTGTTTATGGCTACATCATGTTGAAATGAAGTTAAGAAATGTTGAGACTGGTTAGTAGGTAGCAAGATGGGTGACAATATGGGAATAACCAGTGCTTTAAGTTTGGATGTGTGAGTGCTGTAATGGATAATGGCTCGGAATTGTTAATTAGAGAGTCAAGTTACAGTTACAGTTGGGTTCTTTTTATTTGCTTATATGCAAATACCCTTGAGAAAGGTATGAATGCATCTCTTCTCCCCCTGTTATGGGTTAATTAGTAATACTTGTATTGCTAAAACCATTATTATCTCCCCCTAATAAATACAAAAAATTGTATGTGAAATAATTTTTTGATTAAATAACCCATAAAAGTTTATATGCTCTAAACAAAAACAACCAACTAAAATTAACCCTAATTAAACCTTAGCTGGCTTAGTTGGTCATGTGACTAATATAACCAATCAGAAGCCTCCAGGTAGGAACAGGAGATGGGTTATTTTTAGTCTGAGAAAAAATCAAGGCAGAGTCAGTAGCCTTGTCAGACTTGAAAAAAGGAATTTCTTTTTTTTGTTTTTAATCATTTCACTGCATTCAAGGCAATAAAGCCACTAAGATGTAAGGGGGGTTACTGCGTGTGAGAGAATATGATAAAAAGAAAACATTAAGGTGAGAGAACAATAAAAGAACAGGAATTAAGAAGGCAGAAGACAACAATTGACATTGCATTTAAATTTTAAACTGTTAGAAAAGAATTTATGTTTACATCTCATAAGAATCTCTAAATACATAGCAGAAGCACCAGTGACAGCAATATCCAATGCATGGACGAATGGTAGACTTATAAATGTGTAAGACAGATTCTGGTGAGAAAGATTCTCTAGCATGACACAATAAACTAACTTTCCTAGCAATTGATTCAATATAATCTTTCCACTTTATGTCAGCTGAAAATGTTAGCACGAGAAAGTGCAATGAGTCACTCTCCTGGAGGTTAGCATCAGCCATGTTGACGGAAGGCAAAAAGGTTCTATGAGATGATTAAAAGAGAGTAGTTTCATTTTGGAGGTGTTAAAATTTATAAGCCATTTTTTGCCCCAGTTAACAACTGATTAGAGGTTATTTTTAAATCAACTTGACAATTTAGCCTCTTATTGAGCTGATCAAACTTACTATTAAGACAGGACTAAATAGCTTTATCATCCACATAGAGACTTAGTTGGGGATTGATGAAATTAGAAAGGTTGTTGATGAAAATTAGGAGCAACATAGGTGCAAGGATAGAATTCCTTTGCTCAGTGTGTTGGTGATTGGCAGTTAATATAACAGTGGGTCATAAGAAGTATCATTGTATGTTAATATGAACTATTTTCTCAACTTCTGCTCATCTGTTATCTTTTAGCCATCATGTCTACAATTTGCATTTTGGGTGAAATCATGTGATCACCATTGTTGGCAAAGTTTGAGCTGCTGCTGAGGTTTTTGTGTCCTTACATTTTTTTCTTTAATCTGACACTCCTGGGCCCAGCATCTCCCATGGTCTGGTATTATTTTTGATCAGCTACCATTAGTTCATTACCACACATTATTTACAACTTTCCACAGCAGCAGAGTGTTTTAGTGATATGGCCTTGCTCATTTCTTATATGTAACTACTTATTTACCTATTTAGAATAGTAAGTAGATGTTATTTTTTCATTTTAAGCTCTTTTTTAGGCTTTTTTATTTCATAAACAATAAAAACTTTGTCTGTAATAAAAATTGTTTTATTTCTTGTTCAAATCTTTGTTCTATCTTTGAAAAACAGCAATATATATATGTGGAATGAGTTGGCAAGAATAGGTTTACATAAGGTTTTTTAAGGGTGATTTCTGCCAACTAGCATTGTGGTCTGGTCCCAAGGATGCTGAATTAAAGAGGTCAGAGAGTACATATTTTAAAAAATTTAGCAGAATACTTTTTCAAATTTAGAAATCCTGATATTTATTTATAAAACATTAATTATCACCTGGTGATCTATTTTTTTCAGCAAAAATATTTCTTTTTATATTGTCCTGGAATAGATTGCTTGATTAATTCCTTTTTTATGGATTATCAACACTTTGCAGGTTATTTAAAACCAGAATTTTTTTTTTTATATTGTAAATATTTTATTTTTTTGCAGATAATAATGGTGTTAGTGATACTAGTCTTACTAATTAACTCATAGCTGGGGGGGAGAAGAGATGGATTCATACCTTTCCCAAGGGTATTTGGGAGTAAGTGAATATAGCAAATCAAATCGGAATTGGAATGATTTACAATTCCGAGCCATTACACATTACACTATCTGCACATCCAAGCTTACAGCACCTGGCATTTCCAAGTGTTCACCCATCTAGGTACTGACCAAGCTCAAAGTTGCTTAACTTCAGTGATTGTATGGGAGCCAGTGTTTTAATATTATATGGCTGCAAACCTTTCCTGGAATAGAGGTCACACTGAAAATTTATTTAAATGAACATTGTCAAGAAAGACAACAATGATTTTCTTTTCTTTTTTCATTTTGTTAAAGCTGTGAATATGTGACTCTGCATGTACAAGTTGAGTTTGTTTATAAATAATGATACTGAGTGAAACATTGATGCATTCAAGCAAACTTTAATTTGAAAATGTTCACTGCACTAAGCATTAGTTGGCGAAAACTGCCTTGCAGCTGGTTCTAAGTGGTCAGTCGTCAAGATTACGACCCCCCCCTCCCACCAACCAATGCTTTCTATCCCTAACTTCTGATTGAATTTGGCATTGGTCCTTCAACTCAGCTCATGCAAACTTCGAATCAGTGGTCAGTGACAAATTTCACTTAACTTTCAGGCTGATTGACTTTTGTTAAAACTGACTATCAAAGATTTTATAAGTATCCTATTTGTGGAGAATGACTATCAGTGATTTTATAAGCATCTTATTTGTGAAGAATGACCATCAAAGATTTTATGAGTATCCTATTTGTAGAGAATGATTATCAAAGATTTTATAGGTATCCTATTTGTGGAGAATGACTATCAGTGATTTTATAAGCATCTTATTTGTGAAGAATGACCATCAAAGATTTTATGAGTATCCTATTTGTAGAGAATGATTTTATCCTAAAGATTTTTTTATAAGGTGATCCATCATTTGTGTAGAGAATGATTATCAAAGTTTTATTTTATTTGTGGAGAAGCATTTTATTATTTGTGAAGAATGACCATCAAAGATTTTATGAGTATCCTATTTGTAGAGAATGATTATCAAAGATTTTATAGGTATCCTATTTGTGGAGAATGACTATCAGTGATTTTATAAGCATCTTATTTGTGAAGAATGACCATCAAAGATTTTATGAGTATCCTATTTGTGGAGAATGACTATTAGTGATTTTATAAGCATCTTATTTGTGAAGAATGACCATCAAAGATTTTATGAGTATCCTATTTGTAGAGAATGATTATCAAAGATTTTTTAGGTATCCTATTTGTGGAGAATGACTATCAGTGATTTTATAAGCATCTTATTTGTGAAGAATGACCATCAAAGATTTTATGAGTATCCTATTTGTGAGAATGATTATCAAAGATTTTATAAGTATCCTATTTGTGGAGAATGATTTAGTATTTTATAAGCATCTTATTTGTGAAGAATGACCATCAAAGATTTTATGAGTATCCTATTTGTGAGAATGATTATCAAAGATTTTATAGGTATCTATTTGTGGAGAATGAATGATTTTATAAGCATCTTATTTGTGAAGAATTTTATATATATCCTATTTGTGGAGAATGACTATTAGTGATTTTATAAGCATCTTATTTGTGAAGAATGACCATCAAAAGATTTTATGAGTATCCTATTTGTAGAGAATGATTATCAAAGATTTTATAGGTATCAAAGAATGATTTTTTTATAAGTATCTTATTTGTGGAGAATGACTATCAAAGATTTTATGAGTATCCTATTTGTTGATTAAAAGATTTTATAGGTATCCATCAAATGATTTTCAGTGATTTTATCCTTATTTGTGAAGAATGATTTTATCCTAAAGATGATTTTTTTATAGGTATCCTATTTGTGGAGAATGACTATCAGTGATTTTATAAGCATCTTATTTGTGAAGAATGACCATCAAAGATTTTATGAGTATCCTATTTGTAGAGAATGATTATCAAAGATTTTATAGGTATCCTATTTGTGGAGAATGACTATTAGTGATTTTATAAGCATCTTATTTGTGAAGAATGACCATCAAAGATTTTATGAGTGTTCTATTTGTGGAGACTGACCATCAGTGATGTTTGAAACATCCAATTTGTGAAAACTGAACATTAAAGATTTTATAAGCATCCTATTTGAGGAGGCACAGTGGAGTAGTGGATAGTGGCTCGGATTGAGGAATTGGAGAGCCGAGTTCAACTCCCAGTTAGATCCATTACATTCACTTACATGCTAATACCCTTGGAAAAGGTATAAATCCTCTTCTTCTCCCCCTTGCTATGGGTAAATAGCAGGACAGACTTAGTTCTATAGCCCTAGGTGGCAACCGGTCTATGAGAATGTAACTCTGAATTCAAATCTGTATGTAACCCTGGAGTAGCATATACTATACAGCTAACGAAAGGATTATTCACATTAGCTCGATGATCTCAACTACAGTTGACCTGAATGGATGGATGGACTTGTGGAGACTGATCATCAAAGATTTCATAAGCATCCTATTTGTGGAGAATGACCAGCAGTGATTTTATAAGTATCCTATTTGTGGAAACTATTAGTGATTTTGTAAATGTTCCATTTGTTGAGACTAATCACCACAAATGTTATGCATTTTCCAATTGACATATTTGGGAAGAATATTAGAATAAACCTGAATCTATACTGGCAGCAAACAGAAAAATAGAATTGTGTGTAAGACAAGGATATGTCTTCTCACCACTTATTCAACCTATACAGCAAAGTGATTTTAAGAGAATTCGATGTCTTACAAGGATTCATTATTATTGGTGGCCACAATCTTAACAACATAAGACATACAGATGACACACAATGTTGATAGTTGACATAGAAAGGAAATTATAAGAACTCTTATATAAGGTAGTGAAGGAAAGTGATAAGAAAGGACTAACCATCAATTGCAAGATAGAAAAGACTATCAATTATAAAAAGATAGAATGCATAGTTGTTAGCAAAAGGAACAGACCAACATGCAAATTACAAATTGGGGATACCAAAATCAAACAAGTACAATAATTTAAATATCTAGGAAGTGTTTTAACAGAGAACGGTAGGTGCAACACTGAAATATGAAAATGTATTGGCATAGTGAAAATGTTTTCCAAAAGCTAAGCAAAGAATTAAGAAACAGGAAAATTGCATCTCCACACAGATAAAGAAGAAACTTGAGGCAGTAGAAATGTGGTTCTACAGAAGGATGCTGAGAATACTATGGACTGAACATGTGAGCAACAATAAAGTTTTAGATAAAATGCAAATAAAAAGGACACTTATAGTTAGCATCAGAATGAGATTGTTGAAATTTCTAGGCTAATGAAGAAAGAGGGCTTGGAAAATTTGATACTCCCAGGCCATATTGAAGACAAGAAGGACAGAGGAAAGTAACACATAACCTTCCTGGTGAGGTTTTGCAATCAGATGACAGAACAGGGTTTAGGAGAGATAAAAAAAGACAAAATTTACTAAAGGCTGCAAAGGATAGGAAATTGTGGAGAGCCATTACCACCAATGCCCTGAAGGAATACAGTACATAGAAGATGATTTCTCATTTTCTACTTGTTTTTGATTTACAAATACTTTTCTGCTTGTTCCCAAAAAAGTAAAAATTAAAAATGGGATAACAGACAAAATTTAGAAAATAAAAAAGGTAAAAATATAAAAGAATCTAATATAAAGGGTGTTTCATTAAGACGGATCAAAGTCAGCAGTAAATAAATCAGTGTTATTGGTGAAAATTCATTTATTTCTCTATTGGATCATGTTATTTAAGTCATAGCAATTATGTGTGAAAGATAATATCATCCAAGTGTCCACCAAATCTGAAAGAAAAAGAAAAAAAATCATTAGACGTTTAAACTTAATTCACATTTAAAATTGATCCAAGTTATTGGAACACCCTTTATAAAGCTGAGGGTTTGTGTATGTGAGGAGAGGTCTGCTGAAAACCATGAAAATTATATATAAAGTTGATTTTCTGTTTGTGTATTTGTGCATGCAAATATTATCGTTACCCCTTTCTACTGTTAATAGAGTGATCGTACAATTCACCAGAGAGGGCAAGAAGTGCACAAAACCTCATCCAGGCCGCTCTGGGCCCTCTGAAAGAACCATGCATCTTGTCGAAAGAAATGTTGAACAGCATCCACATTGCAAGGCCTCTGACATAGCAACACAAGTTGATGTCAGTCCCAGAACAGCTGTCAGGTATCTTCACAAGCTGGGCTACTATGGGAGAGCTGCAAGAAGGAAACCACTTCTCCGTCCAGCCAATATCAAATGCAGAAAGGATTGGGCTCATGAGATGGTGGAGAGACCTGTGACCTTTTGGACCACTGTCATTTTCTGTGATGACTCAAGATTCATATTATTTTCCGACAGTGGAAGAGTATGGGTATGGAGATGCTGTAGTCAAGAGTTTGATTTAAAAAGACTGCAGCCAATGGTGAAATATGGGGGCCTTTCAGTAATGGTATGGGGTGCAATTTGGAGTGATGGTTGCTCAGAGCTTGTGGAGTGTGAAGGAAACATTAATTCAACCAAATATGTTTCTATATTAAAGAAAGGACTCCTTCCAATATTCTCAAGTAGTAGAATGAGCAAAGTTGACTCCCTATTTATGGAAGATGGAACTCCATGTCACACTGCTCAAGCAACGCAACATTGGTTGAGACAAAATGGGATCAATAAACTTCCATGGCCAAGTCAGTCCCCTGATATTAACCCTATTGAATACCTTTGGGACATATTAGATCGAAAACTCCACAAAAAGAACAGGAAGCCATCTTCTAAGCCCAAACTTTTAGGATTATTGCGTCAAACATGGTAAGAAATCCCTCAAGATGATATTTGTGAACTCATCGCTAGCATTAAAAAAAGCAAAAGGGATGTCAACCAAGTATTAGTTATTAAATTTATGACCATTTATAATTACTTCATTTGTATAAATTACTTATTTAATAAAATAAACGGTTTCTGTGAGCGTCTATTCAATTCTGTCATATCTGTGTAGGTATTCATAAGCAAATCTCCATCATATAAATAGTAGTTGTTACAGCTGGAGGCTAAAATAATCCTAACCTTGATGAAACTACTAGAGAAATAATAATAAATATTTTTAACTAATTATAGTTTACAACAATCCATGCTGTTAGAAGGCAGAAAGAAGTCTCTCAGAAAGCCAGACAATATTTTTAAATTGTAAGAATTCTT